GTCATTTTCCCCTCAATGAAATTTATAACAATTTATACAGAAATACACACAATCTCCCAAGAGGCACTAAATAAACCTCCAAAGAGATCATCGAAACTAAATAAACAGGTTACGCTCTATTCAGATATCACCTTTAGCCGTATAAAATAAGTTAATTTAGTTAATTTCCAGCGCGAAGGCGCGCGCACACACGTATCGACATTTGACATGGGCGATGCTGGACGAGATCTTATCACAAATCAAGCAAATAAAATTATAACACTCTTTTTTTCTACTATTCCTTTTCCTCATCATGATTTGGGAGAGACAAGAGTTTCATTGTTCCATTTAATGTAGATTAATATAATTAATTAAAGCAGAAAAATAGCGAGAAATAAAATTAGCGGAAAGTTTTCACAAACATTCCTTTTCCTACACGCCCAATTTTGAAAACTTTAGCAATTGCATAAACAATTTGCACTGTTACAAACGACTAAAATATATGCCTTGAAAGAATTTGTAGTGAAATTCCAGGCGAAGCTGAAAAATCTAACTTCTTGCGCGAAATTGTATAGAAAAATGTTACTCAAATTAATGAGCACTTTATGTACTTTCAATAAACTGTTCGATTTCTAACGGTGTACTCTCTTTAGCGTGAGATTATAAATGTTTGAGTGCATAAGTGAAAGGACTAATAGTGAAATAAATTAATCAGATGCACTCCATTAAGTTTGTATTACTGTATAAAATATTTATATAATCGATATAAAATGAAACTTTTCTCGCGCTGCGGCGCAGGTGAGAAAGGCAGGAAAAAAGAGAGCTTAAGCCTATTTTGGACAATGAGGCAGTAATCGTATTTAAAGTAGACAAAATGGGCATTTCTTCCTAGTTCTCGCTGAAAGGCGCACAATAGGGCATGAAATGGGTTTAGCCCGCAAATGAAATACGGGGATAATTGGGCAAAATCTGCAGACATTGCAGCACTTTGTCCAGAGCATTCCGTATTTCGGCATTCAAGGTCTTGGCGATGATAATTAGATTCTTCAGGTAGATGCCATTGGGACTCATGGTTGCACTTTGGGTGAAAAAAAAAACGCGTGCAGAGATTCTCATGAACGTGTGTGCAAACAAAACCAGAAGGGGAATTTGTGGGACACACACCGCCGGACAATAGACGATGGCAAAGGTGAGGCCCAGAGCGGAGATGGCGATGATGAGCTGGAAAAGGAGACAAGTGAGTGAGGAGGCAAAAAAGAAGTGGCAACCTGGAATGTCGTTATCGGTTGCCCTAAAACTATAAATAAATATTTTACCCATATTGGAATTCCCACCATTTCCCAACCATCAAAATTTTCCCATCTGAGAAATTCACCTGAGTTTGTCGACACACCAAACATCAAGTATTGTACATATAAAATTGCTCTCCCAAAGCGCCCAACTGAGCTCGAGCTAGAGTACACAGACCCCATTTTCACCTTTAACAAAGCAGCGCACTATATTGGAACTCATGTGAAACAATTCAAATTCACACAGAGATTCGAGCCTCCCATACAAAGTCACACATATAGTCTTCTGCTAAAGCGAAACACGAGACGCCTCTCAACCCTCCGCCACCTCATACCAATATTTGTCCAAGATTAAGACGTTTACCCAACTCAACGCGCAATCGAAAGTCATTAATAAGTACTATAAATAAATGTCTTCGGCCACGGCGGAGAGGCCACACAAAAAAGGAGACCCAGAGAGTGAGAGACAATCGCCAGAGACAAAAGGAGTGAGTCAATTTGATGGCTCTATTAATTGGCCCAAATGGATGGAAGAAAGGCTCCAACACACACACACACACGAAATTCTCATCAAATATTGACACCCGATAATCTCAATTGGCAATTTCTTTCTCACTTCGCGCGCTCTTCCTCTGGGATTCACCTCAGCCGCGATATATTCTGCTGTGAGACAACAACACTCTTGCGCTATGACTCATCGTCAGTTGCATTGAACACGATGACGTGAAGGCGCGCTGCAAAACCCACACACTTCCCTTTGCTCGATGAGCCACAAGATCACACCTCATTCATCCGGAACTACCCACAGGCAGCAGCCCACAGGCACCCAGAATCATTAACTCTCAGCAATCTCTGCAGTCAACTGTCGCGCTGCCCAGGGACACTCCACATCCCGAATATCGCACGCAAGGACGCGCATTCCGATCGCACGGTGCCCCGCAATCCCTATTCCGGAACTCCAAATGGATTTCACCACTGCAATTTTCCCATGGCATCGAAAGTGCGTCGAGTCTCTGAGGCACACCTTTGCATTGAATTTACGTAATCACCGCAATCGTCTCTGGGTGTCTCATGCCGAGGTATTTGGGTCTCTGACACTATCATAAACTGCCAATTCATTCACAGACACCGTGATTCAGATTAGCAAACACACGACTTAAGGAAAACCTCTCACTCATCATGTGGAAAACCACAGAACCCTCACACTCACTGTTAGCAAATTCCGGGAGTGATTTGTGTGCAAACATTGACCATTTCATATGGTTAAGCGCGTAGGAATGCTTGCGCTCTTGCAGGGAAAATTTACAGTGATGAGTTGCATTGGTTCTGATTGATTTGAGTCAGTTAAAAGTGAGTCAGTTTTGCAAAATTTACTCTGTGTCATAAGTAAAGAAAGTCCCTGAAATTCAACCAAAAATTCATACCAAAAACTTGCACAGGAAAGATCTCACAAGAGCCAAAACAGAAAAATCAATTCTCGCCATATAAGATCAAAGTTTGTCAAACCAGTTTATCTATATCTACATATGCGCAAGAAATATATAGGTAAGCCAATCATTATATCCGTATTTAAATCATCTAGCCACAATCAGTGGTCAGCTGACGTTTCTTGCACAGACTCCGGGTGAAACTGAAAACATACACAAAGTCTAAAAATAACTCTTCGTGAGTGGTCTCGAGACATGACATGTATATAGGTAGTGATTAGGAAAAACATTGTTGTGCAATCGTCTCATGTGCAAAATCTACACTTTTTTTTCTCTCTCCCCACAGCGAATTAGAATGAAAGTGGCAAAATCTTATGGCATCTGCCGGATGCATTGTGAAATGAGTCTCGGTATCTGCTGAAGAATAAAAAAGCAAAAGTTTTCCGCTATTCATTTCCAGCAGCCAACACAAAACACAACTTCCGGGCAATTTTTTTGTGTCTCTCTGCATACCCTCTCTCGCCGGCATCCCATTCACCTCTTCAGTGCATGGCCCTACTTTTTCAGCACACTCCTCCACCGGTGACCACTTCATTGACCCGCTCTCTCTCTCTCAGTCAATGAATGGAATTTACGTGAGTGTTTGTGCCTGGAATAAAGTGTGCTGTGTACTCTCTGCAGAACAATTTCATTTTCATTGATAATTATGTGACATGTTTCAATTCAATTCTACACCGTTTCTGACAACACCAGCACAACACACACACGGCTTTCGCCATTCAATCCGTCAAATGCAAATAATTGCGCTCATGTGAGAAGATGAAGGCATATACTTTTGAGTGAATGTCACAGAAGCCCAGGACACAGTCAAACAAATCGCTCACATCTCTTCTTCACCAGATCCGCAGACAGAACATGTCTCAACAAGTTTGAACAGCATCTCTTTTGACTATTTGTTGGTATTCCTCTCAACAAAACTACATACTGACCCGAGCGCGTCTCAGGGCTTCCCTCGCGTCACCGTCTCAGTTTCCGTGTGTGCCCGCGCGTCTTTTTTCTCCACACAACTTCTTCAGCCTCAAGAAGAAAGCCCAGATGAGGTGAAAAAAAAACACACGCCGAACGGCTGAGCGTGCGTATATATCGCTTATTGACGGATCTTGGGCATTGAAAGAGAAGGTGGAGAAGGTGGACCAGACAACAGCTGGCCACTCAGTCACTTGACCACAGACAAATTGCTGCGAGTGAGAGCGCAAGTGAGATAATAAAGTGCGGGAAGCTTAGAGATGTGTGGAGGAGCACAAAAAACGCGACCCGAGCAGCAGCTTTATGAATGAATCTCGAGACGTGAGATAAGCCAGAGAAGATGCTAATTGGGTGGCAATAGGAGGCACTTTTGCGCTCACGCTTAACGGCAAAACGCACATCACACGCGACAAGTCGCCGAGGAAGATCATCTCGAAAAACGCCTCATCGCCTTCATATCGGATGTCCAAGCTTACGCTTAATTGTGAAATCAGCATCATATAATCGACAGATGAGTCATGAGACAATGAAAGTGTCTTGAATTACTTGCTAAAACTTATTCAGATTGAAGAAAGTTGCTCAATCCATCATTTACATTAAGTTCACGCTCAAGACTTTCGTCAATGGATATAAAGTTTAGATGATTTTGAAGACTTTCACCAAGCCAAAGTTTTGGCTACAGTAAATTCTATACAAATATTGGAAATCTTGAATGATCCAAATAATTAAATTATAGATCTTTTATATTTTTAACTGCTGAAGGCGATCCATCAGCAAACCCAATAAGAACTTAAGCACTCAAGTTCACCGACGCATTCTTGCAAGCCACAACTCGGCTGTTTTCTTAGCTCGCTGAGCGAGATCAGAAGCCCTTTTCCACACAGGCTGGCAAATGCCACATATTTCCTTGACACCTTCACCTCTGATCGCTTTTCTCAGGCACGCCATCGGCTCAGTTCACATGTCAACAACCGGTTAATTGGATAGTGTGAGAGATTACGTAATTTAATTTATTATTAAACAAACTCTCACAGTTTTATTGGCTGAATATCGGCGGGATTTAACCCGCGTTGTGTCGCATGAAAAAGACACGGACACAATTCTCAAATATAGTGATCATTTTTGGCGAAAACGAGTAAATATCACCCACGTTGGGTCAACTCTGCGCCACAGTCATCAATTCGGTGCTCATGATGAGATTTTTATCTTCTGGGTGAAACACCTCGCGAGAGTTCTTCAAATGGTGTGTATAAGGAAAATGTCATAGAATTCAACTCACCAACTGACAATGTGGAGATTTCGTGCACGTCCTATCTCGAAGTGGTGAAAAGTCCTCCAGAGGAATCAATCATCATGGAAAATTTATTCACCCACCGAGGAATTCCTTTCCTTCTCACACAGGCCTCTATTATTCACTTTAATGTTACTTTTATGCAAAAGGTGGTCAGAGAAAAGAGGAAGAAGTGAAAAAATTGCGTGACACTGTCTAATTTGCCCTCCTCTTCCTTCCAAATTCAATAATCCAAATATTTTTCCAACCTTAGCAGCCAGCTACGCTTGTATGTCTTCTCCTGGATGCTATCACACCGCGATTTTCTCACCGTGACTTTTTGCCTCTTTCGAGCGGGGCGTCCAAGAAGTCCTCAATTTACCTCACACCGCACACTCTGATTAGGGGTGGCCGACACACTCTCTCACTCAAACATGAAAACACACTGGCTCTCCCTTGCTTCCGTCCAAGAGACTTCCTCGGTCTCCCCTCGCCGACAATCAATAGTCACAAAATTGTTCACTGCAGAGTTGAGAGCAATTTCCCAGATAAGGCAGAAACTGCGCAAATCAATGTGCAATACCAATTTAGTGAATGTTTATCACTGGTAGATAGAGCGCACTCAAGAAAAAGACACTTCTTTCTCTCTCCTAATTAACTCCACATTGCGATTTAATCTCGAGGATTAACGTTTTGTCTCTCTGGGTACCGTTAATGGATGATTTTGCGCCAGAGTGTGGTCTGTGAGCAATTTGAAAAAAGGCAAGACACAATTCCTCTCAAATTGCAACCGAAAAACACACATTCACCCAGGGCAATTTGCAAATAATGTTTTTCTTCAGTCCCAAAATACAAACCAATTCGTCTCGGTGAAGGAGAAAAATGAATCACTTTTTCAAGCAGTGTCACTTCGTTTCAGGTGCGACGATGAATTGAGAACATTTGCCCGTCTCACTTTGGAAACTACAGAGACACACGATCGATCGACACGAGACCAAGGAGGCGATGAAGAGAAAACCATCCACACACGCTGGCGTCCAACACAAAACTGTCCGAGGTTGGCGCTTTGGAAGAGAGAACTTGTGCCTCCGCAACTTCCACTCGAAAAATTGTACTTCTCCACAATCCAAAACACACACAACTTCACGCAATGTTCCGTCTTCCGTTCTTTTCGTCCGGGAGTGCGAGAGCGGAGTGCCAAAACAATTCTCTCCCTCTCACCAGAATGCACAGCGAAGCGCGAGAGGGAGAGAGCGAGAATTCGGCTGAGCAGCTGCTCGACGTCGGAAGAAGTCTCTCTGCTTGTGCATCAAAAAACCCAAGAATTGTGAGACAGCTGCTGGCGCTTTACCGAAAGCACGTGGTCTGCACGAGGGAGCCAGCATCACATTGCCCAGCGATGCATAGGCTACGCCAGAGCGAGATGGCACGAGAGGAAGTGCCAGGTGAAATAGCGATAGCGCGGTGAGAGCAGAAAGCTCCTCCCCACGAGAGAGAGACTCTCTCTCTCCTCTCGCAAATTCACCATGTGCAGAGCTTTCCTCTCTCTCTGCACACACGCTCTCGCTCTCTTCGCTTTTGGCCAATGCAGAAAAAATCACAACGGCCGAGAAGCACGAAAGATGAGGTTGGAGGAAATCGTGAAAAAAGTGCCAAGTTCAAAGGAATCAAAATCACCTCGCCATTGAGAATAAATTATACCATCGGCCAAACCATTATTGCAGAGAACTTTCCTCGGAATTTCCCACGTGCTCATGAAAATCATGACGAAATGCCATTGCGGATTAGAGAATCAATTCCTTTTCCTTTTTTATAGGCAAAAAAATAATGCGACAAATGTAAATGTGCTGTGCGACCCGTCGTTTGAATCTTAGAACCTTTTTCCGTATCGATAAGTGGTAACTTTTGTTAAACTATTCTTTAATTTGCCCAATAAGATAACCATGATAGTTGCAATTGATAGAAGGGTCTGTAAATAGTCATTTTCTCCTCTCAACAGTAATATTTTGAGCGGTAAAATGGCCAAAAACGCATGAAAAATTCAGTAAAATGATGCATTTAAGTGTGAGAATGTTAACTAGCCCAGCTTAACCACACCTTGAATAAGTGAAAAGTCGAAAAGCACCACAATTTTATATGCATTCTGTGCCGAAGAAGAAAATGAGATATGTGTGTATCCCTTTATGAAGTGCTAGTAATAACAAATTTGTGTTGTGCAGTAAATAATTTTCTTTTTTCCCCCGCTCATAATGTCTCTGTCGGGAGTTTCCATTTGAATGGAGAGAGGGACGCTTCGGTGCTGAGAAATGAAGAGATTTACATTTGCCGTGGCAAGTGTTTATAGTGTGTTTCTACTCCAGTTACCCGAGCATCTTCATGTGCCTCGCCGCGTCTCTCATCGGCCTATGTGCACCTCTTTGCAGGCCCGAGTCGCCGAGCAGTTGAAAATCAAACAGACTATGTCAAAATATAGTTACAGGGACTTTTGTATATTTTGCCGGCTGCATCGACACCAACCAATTAACTGTAGGTCGCCGCATTGCCCTCATTTTCCACTACAAAATTCAACAGCAACGTCTCAACATATCTCACAAAACTAATTGCATTTTCACAGCAACACCACCACCATTGATTCACAACTTTGCAGCCACAAAATAGAATATTCTAATTTTCCAAAATATATGCAGTGAGGAAAATTATTTTGCTCCTTCAGCATAAACATCGGGGTTTAATTGGATTAGAAAACTAAGAGATCCGTTATTTTCTATGTAATTCTCTTCTCGATTTGTGTTTGATTACATAATTCAACAGAAATAGCATTAATTGCGCTCCTCAATAAGCACCTGATTTAGTCGATTGAGTGCTTAAATTGTTGCAGCATCGAAAGTCATCCCCGTGACCACTTCTTAGCAACCTAGACCATGAAGTGTTGAGATAAATTAAAATTTCACCGAGTTACAGTAAAAAGTGTATTGCAGAAAAGCGAGTGAAAGGCGGTTTTTGTCATCAATTTCACCGAAATTAAATAAAAGTGTGGCCAAATTGGATCAAGCAGAGTAAATAGATTTTAATGATACTACAGAAGAGATGAGAGTCGATGTGTGTTGCGGGGAAATTGTTCGAAAATAGATTTCCAACGAAAGCCGGAGTAACATGAAACAGTGCGAGCTGCAGTGATCCAATTAATTAGTGTGAGAGAAGAAAGAGAATTTTCTCGGCTGGAATACAAAGATAGTTTCGCGGTGGAAGAAGTTTCAATTTGTAAAATGAAACTGTTTTCCCTTTTTCTCGGGATTTCTCGTCTGTTTACAATTTCGATGGAAAATTTACGCGCCCCACACACGAGCGGGAAAAGAGAGAGACTCACGGATATGTTAAAGAGGCAAAAGAAGTCAATAGAAGAAGGAATTAATTATTATAAACACACGCACTCCAGTTATAAAATTTCATTGAATTCGATTAATTAATGGCGTAATCTATTCTCTTTTCCCCGCACAGACGCAAGAGAAGTGGCTTAAGTAGTAAAATCCATTGAAATTCTCCGTAAAAATTTTCCTTTTCACATTTTATTTAGAGCACACAATTCGCATCTGGAAGCTGCTATTCGGAAAATTATTGACTTTCCACGCCACACAAAGTCCTTTACGCTGAACACAAGCTGGCAAATTGTGTACAAGGAATAAAAGTACCATCAATACTCTTTCTCTACTGTTAATCTAATCCGCAAACACTCTAATTTTGAAGCCGCTATTGCTGATCACCAGACGAAAGGCGTTTTAGCTAATAATAGAGACAAGATAAGTTTTCATGTTATCATCAGCCAAACCACGGGTTCCCGCGAAGTGAATGGCATTGTTTTCTCAATGAGCAGCTCTCAATTTGCAGACTAATTGATTTAATGAATGAATGAGACGAGAATTACGTAAAAAAGTGCGTCAATTGTGTCCAAAATTGCTCCCACATTTTATCCACTTGCCCACGAACCCATTTAGCCGAACAATGAACAAATAATCCATATTTTTTTTCTACACTCAGCCGCCAAAGATCGCATTAAAATTACTCTCACACAATTTCCATTGTCTGATTAATGTCTGCACGCGGTTTTCCTCTTCTCTCTCTCTCTCTCTGTCTCACCATCCGCATGATCTTCATCAGAGGCGTATATAATGACTTGGATCTTTCTTCCGGACATACCGAAAATGCTCAAGATGTGCTACAATTTTAGTGTACAATCCAGAATATTTGCCCAGGCGCTATTAGCGCTTGAGCAAACTGTAACGGATTTACAGTGTTTGTCCGGAGATTAGTAAATGAGACACATAAAATATCCACCTTTCTTCGTCAAGATTTTTGTCTCTGTGATGTTGAATAGAAAAATGCCTCTTTATGTCACTTTTTGGGATATAAATTCATGTTCGCAAGAACACTTGTTTGTCTGAGATGAGAGACATAATTGAGAATACATCGTGTAGACTACATTTAAATTCTCCATGAGAATCACAGGTCTTTTTTTCTGGGGAGGAATTCGCAGAAAAAGATACCCATGAGACGCATATAATATTATTTGTGTGCCGCTGACGATCAACCAAAAAGAGAAAGAGCGAAGGTGACTTTCGCGATGTGCTCAAGACGCATAGACTTCTCAATTTGAATTCATATTTTTCTGCTTACACTGGATAATGCTATAGACTCTCTTCGTGGGGTCAGAGCTGCGAGTTAGAGTGGAGAAAAGACGGTCGAACATAGAGAAAAGAGCCGTAAAATTACCCACGAGATAGAGAAATAAATATCACCATCACTATTCAGGTGATGATCATCATGCCAAAGGGATGATTTTATAGTGATAAATTCACGACGAAATATTTTGTCAACCTCACCAAAATGATCAAAATCTCAAACCCAAAGCAAGGAAAGAAAGTGTAACCTTGTCTGCGGAAGATGCAAGTGATAAGAGAGTGAAAAAATAAGTAAGAAAGGCTGAAATCTTGATATCCGCCAGACTTTCGTATTTCGAATGTTACTTCTTCTCTCCCAATGTTAGGGTTAAAAAGAATGTAACATATATGGTGATATTACCATAATAATCGCACTCTCAACATTTTCTTATGCTATACAAATGTGATGAATGACATATTTCTTGGGTGTTACATTTTGGACAATGATGGGACACAAAATTAATTGTGTTTTATCGTCACGAAATTGAATTATAATAACCTTCGTGTTGGAAATGTTGGGAATTCACTTGGAGAAGGGAAATCACTAAAGATTACATTTGGAATAGTTGCGAATTTAACGAAAAGAGACACGGATCATCATTAAGAAGTTCGTGGACTCAACAATATTCATTTATTATCGCATAAAATTAATTTATCAGAGATAATTAGTATGGACAATTCAAAAGTGTAACTGAAATTAATTCAGCAGAAATGCCGCAAAGGAGGGAATTGAGGTGACTTGCGAGACAAAAAGACCGCGCAAAAGGGGAAAGGAATTACAGAATCAGACAATTCTTCTTTTCGCCAACAATTAACTGTTATAACAGTCGAATTATGTATTGGTATAGGACCACACTAAGAAGCTTAGCCAGTGAGAATAATGGAGATTGAGTTTAAATTGGGCGCCGTCATCAAACTCCCGCCGATATAAAAGATTGCTGTCCATAAAAATAAGCCACATGAGCATAAAGTGGCATTTCAGAGACTGATGGACATTATTCTCACACACAGCGTGACAAAAATAATTAACAATTATCACTTTATGCAAGGCTGAATCGAGTCTTGACACTGATAACACCACTATGAATAACAATAAACTCTTATCCTGCCACACTAAAGTCATCTCCTCAAGTTGAGATGCACACTGGAAGATTTATGGTCACTTCGCTCCTGCATTTCTTATTTTATCCTCTCTCGTAGTCAGACGATGATGAATAAAATGAGCGAATATTTTTATTGGGACACGGAAAAGATTGTTGCTGTGGTGGAAAAATACTCGCACAGGCAAGAAAACAGTTGAAAAGAAATGAGTGCAAATTAAAAGATTTATTGCTTAAGCCACTTCCTTCATTTTGAAGATTATTTTATGAACTGAATATTTTATTTTACAATTGATCAAGAGATTTC